TGGATGATTTTTATTGACTGTGATTGGCAACTTGGATGATTTTTATTGACTGTGATGGGCAACTTGGTTGCGTTACATGTCGACTTAATTAGTGTTTCCAATGCATATTAATATTATAACATAAAGTATAAATCAATTTCATATTACATGTTAAAATTTGAGATGATTTTGAATCAATTGGCTCTTATTATAGTAAAATTATATCTAGAGTTCAAATTTCTCTTTCCATAATTATCAATGAAAAAAATTACTATATATATATATATGTCACGAGATGTTACTGTGCGAAATATGATATATGATGTGGGGGACTTTAGTACTTAGACTTTGTTAAACAAGAACATGCCAACTGGGTCTTTAGCCTGTGTAACAATTGAAAATATGCGATGGCAAAGATGTCTCTTTGTCTTCGAGCAGTAGATCCAAAGTGGCTGGTGATCCTTTACAAACAACAAAGAGCACACTCACAAAGTCACATGAGGAACCCTGGACATCTTGTGATCTAATCAGCAAATTGCAAAAACTCGGCCAAACTTTTGAAGTTTCTAAGATTAATCAGCAAATTGAGACCATATAAATAAAACCTTGTCTTACGTTGACCTAATTGTTGTACGTATGTGGATTGATCACCATGTGCTAGCTACTTGGCATGGTTAAGTAGTGCATGCCTACCTCATGCAAGCAAGCTTCATGTATGACTTAAAATAAAATGAAAATATGGACACCTAAGGCCACATGCGGATCTACTCCAGCCGAGTGCTGATTTTTTTTTATTTTTTTATTTTTTTTTTTTGGGTAGGCTTAGTGGTATAAGTCGAATGAAGGTAAAGTACATAATAGCCTAGTCGTGTATTTAAAAGAAGCACAACCCTCTATATAGAAATAAGCCCATGCTTGAAGCATATATAAAAGATTTTTGCTATTTAAACCCCACACTTCTCTTAGTTCACCCCAATATTTAAATCATTAAGCTGTAAGTTTTATTATTGTGTAAAAAGACAAAAAAGGTCATCCAACTTAATACTTAACCCTAATACATCTATACACACACCCCACACACCCCACAACTCTTCAAATTAAGTTTAAAAAAAATACAAACTCTTCTACATCCTATGCCAGATTGCTTTTCTCTTTTAAAAACGTTGAACATTGACGAGCCTACCACTTTGAAATCTGCGCAAAAGCTAATGGAAAGACTTGTTGATTGTTTCGCTATAATGATCTTATTCTCTTCCCTTTGTTGATTGTTTTTTTTTTTTGGTACTCTTGGCTGTTGATTGCTTGATTGTTTTGATTTTTGATTTAAAATTTATACCTGATGTTTTGTTAAAACTGTTCTCTTTCTCTAGAAAGTATGGGGTAACTTGAATTTTTCTTCATATTATATTAATTGACATACACATTCAAAAGGCACGAAACCAAGAGATTCATGGGAATATTGTTAAGTTGGGTTTTTATTATCCTGCGGAGAAGGGGGAGAGAAGCCCAAGCTTTGACAATGGTCCTACAATTTGCTGGGTGCGTCGTACCTTTTAATTTGATGAGCATGAAGTTTATATATTTCTTATTTCTACTACGATTAGGCTTGTGGGGTTTAAATAGAAAATCTCTTTTATTTCTTATTTTTTTAGCTTGGGGTGTATTTAAGGGTAGTTTGGGAAGATAATGGGGTTTACTTAGAAATTGTGAAAATTTAAATTAAAAGTTGGGGTGAACTTTGAACATGGGGTGAACTAAGAGAAGTGTGTGGTTTAAATAGAAAATCTCTATATAAAATAGTAAACATGTAATCCATAACCTATATAAATTTGATTAAACAGACATCATAAATTTTCTTTTAGGCACCCAAAATGCCATATTTGAACCTTGAGAGCCCTCTCCTCCTCTTAAAACTTGTACCAACCTATCATTTTGTCTTCTGAATTCACTGTCGCTCTTTCTCTTTTTCAGTTCCTCTTCTCTTCTCTCCGGTGTCATACTCAAAGAAAACCTAACTCACGCTCTCAGCTCCAAATTTGGTCATCTCTTTGTGGGAGCAAATATTTTCATCTCCAATTATGAGACGCCCCATGGACAAAAAGAATTTTCCCTAGGTTATTTAATTGAGCCCATTTATTTGGCCAACTAATTAATACTAAAAAGGGAGACTTTGGAAAAACACAAAGGATAGATAAATTTTGTAAAAGAAGCCAAAATAGGAATAATATCTTAAATATGGGATATTATCTTTATTCAATAAGATAATATTACCAATTTAGATATTATCCAAATTTGAAGATATCATCATCAAATTATGAGATTTGATCCCAATCAAATCCCTAATGGACTCAATCTCTGCAATTTTTGGAAATAATAAACTCCTTCCAAAGAAGAGTTTATTCTTTGCAAAGCCCTAGCCTCCGAGGCTCCTATTGTAACATCCCGATCTAAAATAATTATTAAATAAAAAATTTAATTGTGGAATTACATTTTTATCCTTAAGGGTAAGGGTAAATTGATCACTTCAAATTTGGAAACGATTTTGGGAAATTGAAATGCGCAATTGCGTAGACCTCGCTCTCACGAGTTCGTAGACATGTAGTGGGCTCAAATCGGAGTTTAATCGAAGAAGTTGTGGTAAAACGGAAGTGCAATGGCACAACCATAAATTTGTTGAAGTGGGGTTTTTAAAAACATGTGTTCTTCTCTCTCTTCCGCATGATTCTCTCTCTCTCTCTCTCTCTCTCTCTCTCTGTCGATACCGCCGCTTCCTAGGGAGTTTTTGGCTCCGTCCAGCCACCAAATCCAACCCCACAACTTGCAAAACACTCCTCTCCACCTCCTCTACACGATTACTAATTTTCCAGACTCGATTTCGAGTTGTGAAGCGATTGGAATGAGGAAAAAAGTCGTAGTTTTTTCATCGTCATTTTCGGCGATTCTAAAAATGGAATTCGATGAGTAAGGTATGCTTCTTCATCCATTTTTTGTGTTCCAGTTGTTTTGATAGTTGGTTTGGATCGATTTGAAGGCGTGAGTGTTTGATTAGAAACCTAGGTTTTGTCAGACGTTGACAGCGTTTTCCAGCCACTTCCCAACCAAATTGGAGGTCAGCCCAGCTATATAAGTTGCTCCCCTAGTTGCCCTGATCACATAGGTATAGGTATTGTTGGGTGATTTGAGAAATTTCTGTCGTCGGAAATTTCTCAAGCTACCTACGCGCTGCTGGCGCATGCAGAAATTTCTCAAGCTACCCACGCGATGCTGGTGTGTGTGTTGGGGCTTGGGCCATGGTGTGGTGGCCCATTGGGTTCTGTTTTGATCCCCTTGTTGTCCCGAGCACAACGGTATGCTAGGATTCAATTTTAGTTATAGTATACAGTCGAACGAATTTAGGCCTATTAGGTGATATCGGGGTTCGATATGTTCGGACTGTTGGATTGACTCCAATTCCAAGTATGTTATTTTCCGTACCTCTATGATCGAGTAGGAGTTAACGGATCGGGAATTGGAGTCTCGGATACTTCGATTCAAGGAGTTTAGGGTTGGGTAATCAATAACCGTTTGATTGTGCGATCGAGAGTAATCCAACCACTCGATTGAGACCAAATCTCGGGACATGTTGCTTGTTTTGAGTTGGACCTTTGGGAACTCTCGGTTTGGAAATCAGAGGTCGTTGACCTCGTGGGCCCGAGTTGACCAAAAATGGGAAGTTGACCAAACCGTAGGCCATGAACCTATCGAAACCATCTTAACAAAAAATTACGCTTTTAAATCCCGAGAATTAGATTTTTCTTTCTAATTTAAAGTTTGTGTTCGAAATACAATTGTTAACATATCTCGATATTTCTTCAATAGGTGCTCAAGCTCCAGCTAGCTAACAAGCGGGACCCCCACCGGGCCATACCAGCTTGGACTTTCTGTGAGTGGACTTTGTTTAAATAAGCATTTTTTTAAAAGTATGAATTTCCTGCATAAAAAAGGATTTTTAAAAAACTTTATATTTGTTTTTACTTGGATATGGGAAATAATGGAAATTGAAATATGTTTGCATGCAGAAATTATAAGGGATCTTGTGGCACTATTTGGAAATAAAAAGGAATTTCAATATTGATTTGTGCGGCACCTTCTATAGTGCACCAGGCGCACCCATGCGCCATTTGTCCTTTATGAAGCATGTGCAGTGCACTTACTAATTGATTTGTAAAAAAAAAAATAGAAGAAAACCTGCTGTAACAGGTCAAGGTAATAGTTTTTTCTTGGGTATTTTTGCGTGCGATGCTCCCAAAATCTGGTCCTAAACTTCAAACCCATCTACTGCTGAAGATGGTCATCTCCTCCATTGGTTGTCAGTTGTTTCCTAAGGTATAAAGCATTGGGTGTCACTGGATTTGAAGCTTTCTAAGGTTAGTATTGAGCAATCTCACCTATCTCTTGCTAAGTCCTAACTAACCTCACCTCTTTTTAAGTTAATTATGTTTATGGGTAAACTTTACTCTCATATGTCCCTTGCTAAGCCCTAACTAATCTCAAGAATTTATAAGTTAATTTCTGTTTATGGGTAAACCTAAATCCCACCTAAGTTTTGTACCAAATTTGAATTGAATTTGTTTTATACAGAGAACATGCATTGTAATATTATGCATAAGAATTTCGTTGGATGCATAGAAGATGATTTATTGGAGCACGAAAATACAATTGCATAGGGGTCATGCAATTCATAACTTTCTGTTTGTCAATTGGCATATGTGTTGGCATATTACTTCCCAATTGAGTTTGTTTGATATGACTGGTGAGAATGTAATTTCATATATGATTCAATAAAAATTAGTTTGATAATTGGAATATGAGTTGACATGTTATTTTTTGAGTTTATTCGATATGATTGACTAAAATTCAATTATATAGGGTTCATGAAATTTGTTTCTATGATTTGGCAATTGCA